TTATTTTCTTTGATTTTCATCGTTTTCCGAAGGCCCATTTATTACAGGACTTAAACTCAGGTCCTTTCATTACCTTATTTCATTGGGGACAAAAGGGCAGAGGAAGCGTGGTGGCTGGTGGTGCCACTCACCTTACACATGGTTGGAAAGCCAATTTCTTGACTGAAATCTCCAAGGGATCGAGAATGATCGTCTATAGAGATGAAAACATTGATTTGAGCTAGCCGTGGGAAGCTTATGATCCATATCCTAGTTGGCTTTTGCGGAAGAGGAGGGAGATGCGGTAAGTTGTGAGAGCCAGTAAAACAGTTACGTTGTCTACATAGGAAGATTGGGAGCTAACGAAACCGAATTCCATCAACCACGTGCGGGCTCCCATCTCTAGGGATCCAAGTACGAACCACGACTTGAACTACATCAGAACTCTGGGTTTTGTTCTTGAGTTTTACAGCAATAATCTGCTTCAGATGCCTGGAATTGTTTCCCAGATTGAAAGCCCTTTTTTGCCAGCATAAGGCCTCATTTCTCCACGTGACTAATAGTTTAGGTTGCATGACTTCAAAAAAAATGCAACCCTATCAGCGTTAAGAGGGGCAGGGTTTGATGGACCCTGAATCCCTATTGACTCAATTCAGAAGCATCACCGGAGATGAAGGCTAAACATATCACCTGACTTCTTCCCGCTTCTACATATCCCATAACTGTCAGTCCTCCAAATAGGAGATGCAAATCATTGCCCGATTTCCTTGAGATCCTCACATGCCACTATTGGCCGCTTTTATTGTTCCTGTCAGCTTTATCCTAATCTCCAACATCCTTCCACCTTGAACTCAAGTGTGTCTGCTCGTTCACTGGTGAAGCTAATCCCGCCAAGCCGAAACTACTCCAAAGCCATACCCTCACTCCATCTGTGCTCGTATATGGACATGGAATGCCTGAGATCGGATGATGAGGAGACGTCGTTTTCTAGAGAGTCCCTACCAAGGAGGGGACCGTTCTTGGTTGCAGGGAAGGGGTTGTAATTGATTACTGGGAAGAAGGAATCGTACGTTTTTGAACTGAGGAATTTTTTTGAATGTTTATTTTTCCTGTACCACATCCATCTTCCACGTCGTTGAGAGACTTCCATAGGGCAGGGCAGGGCGCATCTAGCCTCAAAAAATATTTCGCACGAGTCGCGAGTAGTTTATCAGTTACTAACTTCCAGCTGCTTTCTCGTTTTCGTGCGTGATATACCCCCCTCCACTAATTGGCGGCGTCAATGTCCTGTTCGACTACACCTCTTGATATTTGGAATGAGTAATTGTTTGAAGGCGACTATCCCTTGCTCGACGGCAATTTTTTGAGGAAAAACTAGCATTTTTTGCGGAGAACAATTGGTAAAAGTTATCAAGAATGGCAGGTTGAATGGGGATCGGGTGGAGTACCATGGGAGGAAATCTGGAGGGGGAGTCGTATGTATTTTGCAAAAATTTTCTCCAGCGACATGACGTGCAGACGGTGCCAGTCACCCGCCAGATCACGTGAAAGTCACAAACTGTTCTAGCCCACTGTTCGATGGCTTTTCCGTTCCTTTTCCTCACTATCTGCACGCATGCCTCTCGTCAATTGATTAAACGCGATCCGCTGCAAAACCCGTGGGGAAGCTCGAAAAGTCCGGAAAATTCAGGCTCGGAGGAAGAGGAAAAAGCCCAAACCTTGTGCCATCCCTTCATCTACGAAATAAGCACTCCTTAGTGTTCACCGCTCCTACATTCAGACATCAGTACTTCCTGTTGCACTTGACCGATCGTTTTCCCGTCTCATGCCACGCTTACAAGAGCCGGGTACCGCCATCACTGTGTCACATATTTATGAACAAATGAGCAATGAGCAACGAATGAGTATTGGTCACTAGCATTGACAGGTCTCTAAAGGTGACCTGTTCACCTCTCGGAGTGCCATTGGATGCCCCCACCAAGCCAAACTGCGTCTTTTACTGCTTACTTCACCCAAACCTATCAGCCCGTGAACTCGGCTCAATGGGACCATCGTGACCAAAGAGTGAAGAATGCGGTTTCGGACTTTGACTGCCGTTGAGGCGCCATGATCATTCTATCACCATAATGTCGAATGGGACTGATCGACATGGCGCATCCTAGTGACGTTGGTCAGCGCTGACTGATTCACCCATTTTTTCCTCACATGCACTGCAAACTTTTATCTCACAAATTTTGCTTATTTTGATTAATCCGGCGCTTATCGAGAAACGAAGGGTTGAATAGAACAGATCACTTGCCCACAAGACCACCTTAAATCAGTCAATTTTCTCGGGCCACCTGACAAAAACCCTTTTCTAAGCTGCTTATCTTCCCTTGAGAAGCGGCATCGACTCAGTGTAGCAAGAACAAAGGGCGGCCCTTCACCTTTTGCAAATGCATGACTGAGCCGATGCTTTCATATTCCTCACGTTTCGTACGTTTTGAGAGCGTCTTAAATGGAAAAGTGCCGAGCGAGGATTTTGACATAGTCCGGGTGCGCCGAGCATTCTGCCTCCATCAGGGCACATCATTGGTGGGGAATCCCCAACAGGGGGTCGTATTTGGCCGCCAGGAGAGGGGGGGTCGTAGTGAGTGCGGCAGCCAGTAACGAGCAGCGCAAATTGTCAATGTGCTGAGTCCTGGTACAACGAAACTTGCTTTGTAGAGAACTCGGATATGCAAAAAAAATAGTACAAAACTTTCATTCATCAAACTAATCCGAAATAACTGCAAATATTAATAAGTCGACATTATCTCGTAAGTCCGTTGGTGACTAAACAGTACACTCAAACTCTGGTTCGCTGCCAAAATATTTGCCTGTCGCGTCGCTTGGCGCTGAGCCAACCTGTTTTTTTCTCGACAAGCGACAGGACTACCATATCGTTCATATCAGACGTTTTCCAGCAGTTGGTCTCCTTTATCGGAGTCAGCGATTGGTGGAGCACGAATCTGGCAGCGCTGACAGGGACATGTTCCATCATACGCAACGGAAAACACTGTAAATAAGTGCACAGGCTCCCATGGACCTCCCTGAACCTTATAGACACATTTGCTCGCGTGAACAGAAATTACGCACAAGTTGCACCATCCCATCACCTTGCTGCGGCCCTCAGTGCGCGACGCATCCAAAGTTGGCGTGATCGGCGCTAAACGAACCATATCCTGCTCTGCTCCACCACAGGATACGTTCTACATGCGTTCCTGGCTATTCGAACACGCTCACTTGAAACGCTACACAGGAAACGGGTTTTTCGCGCAGCTGGGGTGTTCCTCAAGAAATCCCCATAGCGAGATCTCATGAATCCCGAGAGCTCAGAAACAGTTCAAGAGGTTTTAGAAAGAGAAAATCTTCAAACACTCGAAACCATTCTCAGATTTGTGAAATGTTGAGCTACAAAAAAAATATATTGATTCAAACCTGTTCGGTTGAAACCACTCCCCAACGATCCCTATGGCAGATTTCTCTGTGATTTTTTGCGAACTTCATAAACGTTTCAGTACCTTTAGGAAGTGCAAACCTTCCTCTACACGAGTACGGTCTCCCTTCCCCACAGGTCCGCTTTTGAGGAAGTTATGGTCTTTCAAAAACACCTAACTCAGCTGGAAATTCTCGCTCCATGGCCTAAATTGCCGAATAATCTCCTGTCACAGCCGCAATTACATGCGCTTCTGCTACCGTACTCCAATAATCGGGGTAATGCATTTTTACGGCGGTTTGTATAACTGTTACGTAGTGAGACAAGCCTAACTTTCTCTTTTCCTCGTCCTCAATCTTGGGAATAGACGTTTTAACACTGTGGTCGCTGATGGCCGCTCCCAGAGAGGGAGTCCACGTCAGGTTAACGAATCTCATTGAATTTATCGCCGATATATTCGTTATTATTTACATGTGTGTTTCAAAACGGCCATCGAAGAAGTTATCATACGAGTTTCTCATAATACGATTGTACCGTTTTTTTGTTGCAATATCTCTGTATTGTTCTATTATTATGATCTTCAAGTCGTCCATTTAGTATGGGCACCTTCATAGTAGAATTCACAGTGGGCATTTCAAGTCATTTAAGGCGAAAAAAACCGAACGGCAAAAAAAAGGGGGGGGATCGTACCGAACCCCCAAAAAAAGGGGGGGGGGTCGTACAGGCTCGACCAAAATCCCCATCGAATGCTGTGCCCTGGCCTCCATACAAAATCGCAATGACATATTGCATGAATCCAGGCGGGATGGCCTTGAGGGGGGGGGGTTGGGCCACTCGATGTGGTGGTCACTGTACCGATGATGATGGTGATCAGCCCAGTACGGAACCTAGTACGGATGGGAAGCTTAGTTGGTCTAGGAGAGATTTGCTTGAGAGTTTGGACCTCGGAGTAGTATTAGTAGCCGCTTGCAACTAAATTCCTCCCGCAGAATATCTCACTAGGGCTGAAATGTAGCGCAGCGCTAATGTAGCATCGGCACGCGGTTTACCAGGCTACCGTTAACAGGTATACGACATCGTTAGGACATGTCATTAACGTCAGCTAGCATGTTGATGACGTGTCTCCAGACGTCACTGACATCGGCAGAATACGGATTTCCTGGTCCTGCCTTGGCATGGTTCGGCTTGGTGGGGGATTTTGCTGGCTCCACTGCCGATGCATCCTGTGGGACCTACGAATTCCTGTAAGCTATTCAGCTGCATGAGCTTCGTTTACACTTGACAAGAGTCTACATGTATTACCAAGAAAAGATGTGTAGGTGAGCAACCAGCAGAAAGCACGATTATCTCAACCACCCCCCCCCCCCTCCTCCACCTTTAGCCAAACAGCGCCGTAATGTTTTACACATCATCTCCCAACTCTAATCTAGCAGCACACCAGTGCTACCTGTGTTCCATATAGCGGTAAAGAGCAAAACTGTGGATCAAGGAAACAGTGAAAGCACAACTAATCAATATTTCTGTTTACTAATCGATAGTTTTGTTTTGTGCAGGATCCTCGCCTATGATAAAAGGATGTGGCAACGCAACTTTTGAAAGTATGGAAGATGCATGTGCCAACATTCACAAATGTGAAGGACTACCCCTTGAGCTGGAAAGTCAATTCTACTCAGTCAACGAAGAGGTGAGCCTTTTGTAACGTTTTTAACAACGCGGACGCGAAAAAGAAGTTTCCGGAATGAGCTCAGTGGTTTCCTAAAATGTGATTAATCGTTATCGAAAATCACCAGATTAAAGACAATTCCATTTTAAATATAAAGATAGTTCATTTTAAAGATAATGTGTTACGGGTAGTGGTCCTCAGTCATGAACCAGTAACCTATAAGTAGCTCCTCAGTAGGAAAAGAAGCGAAAAAACGTCCAGAACACTTTGAACACATACCTCACCTCAGCAAAGGGGCGGTGTCTTGGACGAGCATGTGGGCCGTGAAGGACTTTGAACGCATTCACTCCTGCAATGTCCGCGCGGCAAGTGTCGCGCGCTGCGCTTTTTGCATTCTGCCATCCTTGGTGATACGCGCTCTCCGTAGCGATTGGAGCGGAAAGCTTGAGCAGTGGGACCGTAGCGTGAGCGCCAGGCAAGTCCTGGCCAAGCCATGCGATATTCGTGTTTAGAGGTCGAAGGCCTGCGGAACAAACAATTGCTTAGCCTTTTTTCAAAGGTCCATAGAAAAAACTGGGCTGGTGTCGGAAGATTGGGGTAGTAACGCCAATAGCTGGCCCCATCTGAATGATCATTAGGTGAGTCTGAGAAACACGTAACTGCTCCCCATTTCGCATCCTTCTCTTGCGAATAGTATGGAAGACAACATACCTGCTCATCATTTTCACGTCCTTCCCATTGCTTGCCAGAGTAGTAGAAAACTCAAGGAAAGTTAACTGCTCTTTTGTTTCGCATCCTCCTGACTGGAGTTGCGCTTACAAAGGCTATGGCACTGTCCAAAACAGCCTGAGCCGTCTCCATTTTATGTCCAACAATGTGAGGTTTGCCCTTAATCGCTATGGAAAGCACGGATCAGCAAAGATGGTAAGGTGCCAGAAGCGCCGCGCGCGACACGTGCGCGCAGATGTTGCCAGGAATGGAAGCTTGTGAGCCGTTGCCTCGCACAGCTAGTGTGGTGTTGCACCGCGTTGCAATGCTCACGTGTCTTTAACTTCTTTATCTCGCCATTTAGAGGGGACGAAAGTGGTACGTTCTCTATGAAGCGTATACCAGTTTGCAAAGGCACGAATCTCTGAGGTGGGCCCGGCCATGTGGGACATGAATGGGTGCTGCAATAGCATGTCACTTTCTCCGCTGTGAACGAGAATGGCGGCGTTCAAAGGTAAGTGGTATCTCCAGTGTCATTACTCCGCCCGTGGCATCCCCAACTAGCAGCGCTCAAATCCACACAGAGGTGCCGACAGTGAAACACAAACTACGGCGCTGGAGAACAGCCAGATGTTAAAGGATACAGACAAGCAACTCGTCCGCCTCTGTGTAGGCGTGAAGGTGACAGCGCGACAGCGCGAGTGAGGCGGCATTCGGACATCACTGCCCTCCAGCCCCGTTCCTGTGCACTTTTGACCGGGGAAAGTGACGCGCTGCTGTAGCTGCGGGCCCATTCACCCCACACTCGGCAAGGACCAGGATGTACAGCGCAAACGAGAATGTACAGCTTGTCTTTGAGCCCGCCACCACGCGCTTGGTTAGGCTGCATTCATACTTTGCGGCAGCGTCCATCAGCGTTCCGAGCGTCCGGCAGCGTGAGCGACTGGGAGCGCATATCTTATCGGCCATACTCTCTACCAGCAATCTGCTACCCTCCTCTTCCTATACTTTACCAGCTGTCTGCTACCCTCCTACCGCCCCATACTATCCACTCCCGACAGCTGCTGGTTGTTCAAAGATGCTAGCAGACGCTGGCAGACGCTATATCTACCTATACTTCCCTAGCCCGAAACTCTGCTGGTAGCTGGTGGACGCTAACAGACGCTGGTAGACGTTGGCAGACGCTAGATCGATATCTATACCCCCTGGTCGGTAACGCTGCCGGACGCTGAGAACGCTGAGTACGCTGCTGCAAAGTATCAACGCTGCCTTACTGTCCCATTTCCAAATCCAGTGTACTGCAAATGTTTCCAATATACTGTGGCAACAAAACCTTATCAGATTAGCGGACCCGGAAGTGGAGAGAAGGATAATCCCTTCACGCTGTGTACACAATCAAGGGCAAGCAGTTAGCGAGGTTGTAGCGTTTTGCAAATAAACATCCATTCACGTGAAGGGCAACTTTATTTGCTCGAAGGCGGCTAAGTGTCTGGAGTGGAAAATTCGAAGTCACCTTGACACTGAGAATCTCACGAGAAATACTGTAAGTCACACCACGAGGATATGCCAACAAATGCGCGCAATACAAGGCAGCATCAATACTTCGCGACTCGAGTCACTAGGACGAGCGACTGCTGCCGTCCGCGTTCTGCCGCTAAAGGTTGCACAGTCGCATCTGCTGATTCAATCACATCCAACATAAGACTTCTTTCAACCATTGCAGCTGTCCTCTGACTAGCGTGGAGCGCGGTCGATAGCAGTTGCGCGTTTCCCTAATCGCGCGGCTGGGAGACTGGAGTAGCGAAGTATGAACGCCTTCTTAGTGACTGTACGCCTGTGGTGGCATATTTTCGCGACAAGCCCAGCGGATCTTCCTGCAGGAATCTCAATTTGAAGGCCAACAGGTGTAGGAACCGGGACAAAATTTTAAGAGAGGAGCTGTGTAGCTTGAGCAGCATATCAGGTAAGAGCTACCTCCAGCTAAACACTTGTTGCTTCTCTAAATTCCTCACTCTCTCAGATTAGTGTAGACAATTCGGAGCACGATTAAAGAACCCCTCCTCTCCAATCAATACTGCCCATTGGGACAAATGGAATACCTAAAAATTCTTGATTTCGAATCATTCCATTCATTGCTTAAAGTCATTAAGCGCAAAGTCATAAGGCGCTAATAACCTGATGGGCATTTGAAGGACTCTTTGTGCAAAACTTGGATTACCCTAAGAGGGACGGAATGAAGGTGCTGAGATTGGTTCCCACATACAAAAGCTTCATCCTTTTGAGCTTGCGTGAAAGTCTTCGTCTTTCTTGCAGTGCCAGTTTTGCAGAAAGAATCCTCAAACGCCTCTATATACTCGAAATCCCTGAGATCGGGTAGGCGTGCCGCATTTTTCAACTTAACCTGAAGTGTCTATGCTTCTGGTGAGCTATTTTCATGCTGACACTATTGGTGTCGTTGTCCTTGACATCATAGAACAAGATGACAGTTGTCCCAGACTGGAATATGTAACCAGTTCCGCCTGCCATGTTCAAATGCCACGCCTACTCTGACTCAGGGATAGAGAGGTACTTTCCTTGCTATCAATCATCCTTTTTCTGGAAACAGCTGCTGTGTTTTCAGTGGGACATTCACTGCGAGCGAAGGTATCTGGAAGCGGCGCGAGCACCTCATTGCAAATGTTCGGGATGTGATGATTGGATCGCTCAGTTCGGGTCAAATTTAGCTCGTCATTCGGAAGGAAAAAGGTAATGTGAGAAATGCTGGTCTTTTAGATTCATTAGACAAAAGATTCTCTAATTTTGCAGCCGATGGTAATCAGCTTAGCAATGACCGGTTATACTAAGTCTGGCCACCTATTTCGTCAATGATCTCGTTCAGTTCACTAATTATCGCTTCGTTCTCGCATATTCACAGGAGGTCATTCAACGTTAGTTTCTTGAGCATTGCCCAATGAACGACCAAATAACCAAAAAGCGCTTTTCTGCGTTGGTATGCGTAGAATAGTTTTACAACCTCTTAAAGGCACAGTTCCGGACCGTAACGTTGCGGGGAAACGGAACTCAAATAGGCACAAAAAAGTGCTAAGTATCTCTGATTAGCGGAGAAAGCAGCAGAAAAAGCAGTCCGAAATGTTATAGAGAAAGATAACATAGTGGCTACTAGCTAGTAGCTAGCAGCCGCTGAGGGTCGGCATGGGCCTAAAGGGTGTCCATGGGCCTAATTAGTCAGCTTCTAGCGGAGTTTTTGCCGTTTTCCACATTTTGAAAGTAGCGCAGCCTCCGAAATCGCCTTCCGGATCGTCTGACACATTTGAGAGGTCATAGCCTTATTTTATCGCGGAATGTGCCTTTAAGAGTTAGTATACCTCCCTCCTCTGGCTAGAAGGATAGAAGGCGAGCCGGGTAAAAGCCAACCCCAGACTTGTTCCTCGTGCGCATAGTGTAGCCTGCCACAATTCCACCTTCGCCCTAATATGTCTGTCTCATTCTCTCTATATATCCGTACCAGGATCATTCTCAAATCAGCGCTCATCTCACTAAGGCAAAGTACATATTCTACCACACACCTGGCTCGGAACTTCTGTGATTAGGGATTCAGTGGAAAGAAACCGATATTGAATTCAACCTCGCAAGGGGCTGAGGTGCGACTATACTTCGCGACTTGACGAGTTAGTTGCGATACGGTAAACACGCGACCCAAAGCGCTCTCCCACTCTCCTACTGTACGCACAAGCTGATCCCTTTTAGGTAAAAACTCTTTCAACCACTGCAGTTGTCCAATGATCAACAGCAAAGCGCAACGTTGGGGATCGGGCAATGAGTCGTTCTGTCGCGAAGTATGAACACGGGCTAACATTGATGATGGCGGAAGCGCCCCATTACTAGCAGAGAATCGTTAAAGGCAGTTGGCACCATAAATCCCTTCCCGCGCACCTGAGCAGGCGCTGCATAGCGCCTTTTCCAAAGAAGTTCCCTTATAAAACCCCATAAAGCCGCGACATACAGACCCGCCCGCCCACAAATGGATTACCGTACCTGATGCTCGTATTGCTTCAGTGGTGAAGTAAAATATGAGGGGAAGGGCTTGATATAAAGCGGCCGCCGTGCTGCATGGATATATGGGTACACACAGGCAGCCGTATCTACCGTTGCGGTTATTGGCAAGATGCCAACGGGGAACTCGTCCAAAGCTGCTTTCTGAACCTTTTTCGCAGGTTTTAGACTATTTCACTTCGTTTTTTTCGCAATTTTTTCGTCATATAGCACCCTCTAGTATTGACCGAGCACCAAATTATGGTGCCATATGCCTTTGAATCGCGCTATCGATTGACATTCGCGTATCCTCCAAAGTGCAGGAGGAGTGTGTATCTAACCGTAGATGCGAATCTGAAGGGAACAGCAAGTTAGTCGCGAACTATGGACGCTGACAGCAGTGCGGCGACAAAACGGCTTAGAAAAAGTGGTTCTTCTCGTGCTCAGGGTCAGAGTAAGGGCAAGACAGCTAACAGGAAAAAGCCTACCGTACACTCTTTAAGTGACCATGTCGAGAGTTTTACGCTTACCGGCGATACATTTGACACACAGGGAACCTGACGGACCAGTTCAATAGTAAAAAACAATGCTTTTTACAATTAAAGGAACACAATTTCATGGTGGTAATGGTTTTATCTTCTCGAGGAACACTTCCTAAAAAGTCGCGGGATGGTGGATCAACAAAACAGCGAATCATTTAAATGTGATCATCTTGGAATTATCGCCTATTTCTTTCAACAATTGGCGTTCGTTGGCTCTGCGTATCTCCGCCTTGCCGACATACCAGCGCGTGGCGCCATGCTGTAAAGTTCTGCATAGGGTTATGTTCACGTTGTTCAGTTCGTGCTCGGTGGGGGCAATTGCTGTCTGATTCTGTCCGTCAACGTTGCCAAACGTTCTTGTGGAGACCTGTAAACTCCTTGGTAAGTCTTTGAGTGGCATACAGCTCCGCTTAGGCTTAACAGAGTCTACAAGTGAGTGACAAGACTGAGCATGTCTGGTAAGAAGAATAGTAATGAAAAACTGGAATACACCAGACAATTCGCGTTCCGTAGTGAACACCGCCTGAATATCAGTTGCTCTTAGGAAAGTCTATCGAAGGCATGGACAATGATTCATTTCATATATTTTTTTACCTGTGTTTTTATTGTTCGGCTTGTCATATTTTCAAATAAAATCGGGAGCACAGGTGCTATTTACCAGGGAAGTCGCCAACGTTACCATGGAACTTTGACTGGAGACCTGGGTGGATCATAGAGTCCATAAGATTATTTACACACTATACAGGGAGGGGGGCAGAAAAAGATAGTCATTCCGCGCCGAGTCACATAGAGGCGCAGTTTTCGCGCCCAGACAGAGGAAGTGGATAATGGAGTACCAGGGGCGGAATGTTACCCAAGTCTTCCCTATTCAGCAGGAGCTGGCTGCCGCCATTCAGACGCTTCATGTACCCAAAATATGAAGTCATCTCCAGGTCGCGGCCTGAGTGGAGATACGCCTTTGAATTCACGTGCCTCCGAAACAAGTCTGCGGAACTTCTTAGAATCGAATCAGCCATGGATAGGCTACGCTTTGGACCAGTACTCTGATCTGCAAGAACTCAAAACCTCGAGCAGCTCGCGGCAACGTGCTACGGTCCAGGCACGATAATCTTTCACCCATTCACCAAGGCGCGGTTTGAGATGGTGCGGACCGGCGGCCGTACCATGGAATGGATGAACGCGATATTTTCTTCGTGGGGCCCAGAACTGAGTGTGTGCGCTGGTAGCTACATCGACGATCTCGTGCAGAGTATCGCATCTTCATGTCCGTCAGCCGTACTCCTTCTTGAAACTTTGATACTGCTACAGGATTGGGTGACAACACATTCTTATCGAAGGGCGTTGGATAAAACCTTTTGCGACTACTTGAAATGGAAAGAAGCGTTGAGTACTGGAAAAGGTAGAGTATTTGAGCGGGTCCTGATCTTAAACCCCCATCTATTTACTCGGGGTTCGGGCGGAGCTCAACAGGTGTGGTCCTACGTGGCGAGAAATCAACTATTCGCCTCACTCCGTAGTAGCCCTACACTTCGCGCGGGCCGCAATCTCTCGATGGCGCGGTCGCCTTCAAGAAGGCTGTGGCGAGTATGCATCAATAGTATTGTAATGTTGCTCTTTAATATGGTAGTGTAAATGTCCGATAAAAATTTAATAAGTGTACTTAGGCGCCTCGAAGCTCATGGAGGCACAATGACTTTTTTTTTGCCCGAGCGCCCACCTGTAGGTAGCAAAACTGGGGAACGGCAGGTGCAATTTTAAACAAGAACCTATGAACAGATAAAGTTTGTAATAGTGGCTGTAGGGCGGAAGCTGGTGGTGACTGTAAGCTATAAGCGAGGACTGCGATAGCGGCGAGTCGAAGAGTCGAACTTACCACTGAACCACCACCGACTCGATTCGACGTATGCGATTTCCTGCACTTATGTTTCACAACTCACACACCACGCGCCTGGCCACCTTACGCGCACGCTATTACAAACTTTACCATGGCTCATAATTGCTGTGTGAATGCAGGTTGCAGTCTAGGCTATCGCTACATAAATTATCGTATATATGTGTAAATAACATTATGAACTCTATCGGTCTCCCAGGTCTCCATTTCAAAAGTTCCATGGTAGTTGGCGGACTTGTCTCTGGTTAGGGTCGCTTGTTCACCAAGCCTGTGCGTTCGATTTGATGACACTTATTGATCTTCTTCGTAATTTGGGCTTAGATGAACGATAGGATGCTCTTGGAGGATTCTCGTTTGGGATCTCCAGTGTGTTTAGGAACGACTGATTGAACCACAGCTTCTCTCGATACACGCAAGACATATAGGTCACACAACTCCAGTGTGCCCCAAAAAATATGCTCAGCACATTCAAGGGAACATGCAAGGGTCAATATGCGGAAAGCTCGTTTTTTAAGTTCCCCCACTTTCTTCTTTAATATAACATTCTCGCCCTATCGCCACGCAACATAGATGACTCCTGATGGGAATTCCGGCAAGGCGCTTATGTGGCGCCTGCTCGCAGTCTCGTCGCTCTTTGAGAATCCTCGCCGCACTGGGTTACTCTTCTCCTGCACGGTGCAATATTAAAGCCAATGCGGCACCAATTTCTTGTTTGGTTGTCTTCACAAGACACTGTATGTTTTGTCATCGCTGTCGCGTGTGGGCACAGCCTCAACGCGTCTGCCACACACGGACTGGCTGCTTGGAATGCGCCTGAGAGACGCGGCTGGGGAAGGGAGGGGGTTCTCACCCACCGATATGGTCGGCGGATCGCTTTCATTCAATGGCGGATCGGCTCCAAGATTGCTCAGCTGTGAAAACATGGATGGAGGCCGGACCGATACACGGCAAAGTTTTCAATGCCTTACTTAAAACAGCGGCCCGCAAAGAAGGTTCACCTTACATTTCCGCATAAGCTCGAGTTTGCGTTAGAGTGAGGGGACCATGAAAAAGAAAAGTAGGCGCGAGCGTTAATTGTCGAGGGGTGAAGAGAGGTTATTCGGCAGTGCTCTGCATTCCCAAAGTCTTGCGAAACCTGCTTTCTACTTTATTCGTCAAGAAGGCGACCTGATACTGAACTGGAAAAGCATAAGCTTCAATCAGTCAAAAGAATGGTAAATGCCGGGGCAGTGGACGCGGTGGTACGATCGCAGACTCGTTCTCACACTTAGGTGAACACAGTCCTTTCTTCTTTCCGATGTGTTTCTGAATCACCACTTACCGAAAGCGTTCTTTCTTCTATTCTCACCGAGATGAGCGTGATAAGCGTTGCAAGACCTCGCCACGCTGGCAGTCCCAGGCTACACATCGATCAGTTGAATAATCCCATCGGAGGGGGCCGCATTAGTCTATTGAGGAAAGGGGGCTTAGACGCACAAAAGGAGTTCGAGATCCCACGTGTATTCTTTATCGGCTGAGATCCTCAATCTGATGGTAATAATACGTCAGTTTCCATGGCAGCAAGGAATACTAGGGCTGCCACTCTTCTCTCTGGGTGTTTGTCTTTGACCATCCCCTCCCCACCTACGCATTACCCCAACGATGAATGTGGTTTCAACTTCTGATCTTCTAAATTTCACTTCCGTTAGAAATTCACGACAGTTGAGAGAATAATTTTGCTAATACAGTATGAAAACGCTCTAACGAGGAAAAGCTTTGCTAAGACAACAGATGAGTCACCCCGCACCGGCACCTTGATTGCGGTTTATTACCACGCCGTTTCTGAGAAGAAATGCTCTTTGTTCGCTTAAAAGGTATGGAAAGCGTCCCGAGAACGGTGCTTCCATAAAACAAAATTTTCTGGAAAATGACGACTTCGACGGAGTTAAAAATCAGGACCGATCAGTCTCCCTTCCCTGAAAGATAGCTCAATTTGCCTCAATAGAAAGGCCTCCACCCATAATTGATTGACAAATCGTTTCCATAAAAGAAAGCTGAAAAAGCGAATTGAAAATAAGGTGATAAGAATGGCCTTTGCCTTTTTTAGCTGAATATCAAACATGGGTTATTTCGAGAGCAATAAACGGACTTATCAGTAGATGTGGGGAATTTACGATGTTTTCTCCGCTTTGACTGGACGTGCTGGGTCATTTATCTATCAGAGACCTAGTAAAATAATTAAGGGGTACTCGTATTAGGACCGCTCCGGGAGACCCTTGACGGGCTGCTATGACGGGTTATCATACCACTGTGTATACGCACAATGTTGAGGGTTAGTGGTGATGACACATGATCGTCGCTCAATTATACGCGTTCATACTTCGCAGCTCGAGCGATTCAGGCGATCATGGAGAAGTATGACTGCCTCTTACGTTGCGAACCACCCTGCGCAGCGAAGGACATCAACTCAAGAGCACGCCTCTCCCCACCCTTTCTGGAGGATATTTGGAAGCGGATTCCAGAATTGTTGCCTCTACGCGATTACCTAGCCCATATCCTCAGCCGTGTGGTCTCGCAGCACTGTACCCCTCCACCTCGTGCCAGTCACTTATCATACTTTTCTTTCATGAATGACTTGAAAATTTCAGATACCTGCATGAAAGCCCGCGTTGGCTTGTACAGCGCGGGAAGATTCATGAAGCTCGACGGGTCATCCTCAGTATAGCACACATCGATGGCGACAAAGCAAAAATTGATGAGAAAAACCTCGACAAAATCCTACAGCAGGAGCATGACGTGAGGATTTATCTCAAAATTTTATTATTTACTCGTGTCCAGCTGCTTTTCTATGAAACTTACAGCATAAAATAATTTTTTTTGGAATTGAACTATCCTTGATTGTTCAAATTTCACCCTCGAAACGATTTCTGCAAGTTTTATTCAGTTCAAGATCGCCATGGACTCACCTACAAAAGAAAGCCTTAGGCGGGGTGGGGACGAGGAGCTTTAGAACCGCGACGTTGATCGGCTGAAATTCCACTCCAACAGTGAGCTCATTCCGACATGGTGAGTGGGGGGCGCACCGATTGGTACTCAGCTAGCTCCTGTAAGGTTGAACAGGTTACCTTGTGAAGACCTGTAAATTCCTATGGCCGAGGTGACTCATTTGAACAAGTCCGCTGATTCGCGAGAGTTTACAGGATCCTGTTGGATAACATGAACTAACAAGAGGAACTATCGGAAGTGAAAAATGTCCCCTTCAAGCCGAACAGCGCCATCTATTCGAACTATCCAATGCATTTTCAGTGTCAACCAGCATTGCTGTCCTTGTGACAAAAATTATAAAGCCGTGCCTGAGTTACATAGGACGGCAGTTGGGCCCTACTTCTAAGCCGCTCGTTCCAGCTTACTGTAGGACCTTTGCGTCAAAACAATGAGATCCTGATGCAAAATTGGCCCAGATGCGCCACGCTTTGTTTGCAGCTCCCATACTCGAATCTTCTATCCTGCACCCATTGCATTGGAAAGCTATGGATCAGAAATGAAATGGCCTTAATTTCGCACTTATAGCTAATCTCAAAGAGCAACTATTCATCTTTTGCTACAGGCGTAGAAAAAAACGTTTACGAATCGAATGCGCAGTTCGGTGACGGGGGGGGCGGGGTGGGCATTCTGAACTTTCGCTGCTTCCCATCGCATCTCCTGAAGCCAAGAAGTGCTAGCAGTCAAGGTTTCTAGAACCTACTTGTCAAATCTTGTGAAGCAATGAACATGATGACAGGAAAGAGCAAAAAAGAAAAATGCCCCTCGCAGCCAAACTGCAGATGAAAAGGTCTTTAAGGTGCACACATACGTCAAAATTTCTCAAGTATTCATATTTCAGCAGTTTGAAATCATGGGGAAGAAGCGACACACGTACTGGCATGTCTTCAAGAAGGCTCACCTTGCACTGCCGTTGTGTATAATCGCATTCAGCCTGTAAGTTTAATCATGTGGTCCATTTACGGGACTTTCGAGCAGAGGGAAGAGCGCTTTCATACTTCGCGATCCAATCGCTCGAGCAACCCAACGCGCGATTTCAGCGATCGCATCGCGAAGTATGAACACGCTGTAACAATTCAACCAGCACTCATTGGCTACAGCTACACTCAACCACCAGATTCCGTTCAGGTTCGCCAGTATGGTAGTCAACTATGCGAATATGTTCAATTTGGGCAGTCTGTCAGGATCAATCTACCTGAACTCGATTCTCGTCGGTTCATTACGATACTCTTCGAACCTATCATGTGGATTTCTGGATAAAAAATTCCTGTGGTTCGGACGCAAGCGTGCCCACACCGCCTGCCAGCTCCTCGTGCTCATATCGCTGCTCATTTCAACAGCAATTTTCTACAGTGGTAAATCATGAATTCAGACGTGTGTTTCTGTCTCTTATTCAATAAATGAAATTTTTAAGGCCATGGAACAGACTATGGAGGAGTCGTGAGGTTTTGCGTCCTCATAGTATGCGCAATGGCATCACAGGTAATAATTCGCATTTGCTTAGAGCGCGTCCATACTTCACGAACTATCGCTTGAATCGCGCGAGCAACTGGATCGGCGATTGGATAGCGAAGTATAAACACGCTCTCACAGATAGAGAGGAGGCGGTCAGGACAATCGTGATTTGCCTCGACGACGGGCAAGGTGTTTTTAATTCTTATTAACCTGTACACTGGAGCACTGGATTTCGTGTAGATCGCGGCGGGCGAGCGCGATATTGCAACGCGGCGAGCGGCGATTGTCCTGACACGTTCCCCAAATGGGTATATCAGACTTTCTATATTTTTCTCTGATTCTAGCTGATGTCTTGAATAACAAAAGGTTCATTACAGATTGTGATCGTCGATTCGGTCACCTGTAACGAACTCTTCCCCACTTCAGTACGAACTTTATGCTACTCATTCGTACAGCTTTGCAGTCGATTAGGAATCGTCGTCGCTCCCCATGTGTTCTCATGGGTGAGTTCAGTTCTCCTTTGCCCTACTCTTTCCTCTTAGCCTTTCTCTTCTTGTGACCGACTCTCAGTGTGGGACGAGAAAACGCTGGATGCTAGATAAAAAGAACTGTTCCTTTTATCTGGAATCCTGCAATTTCTCTACCAGACTAATTTTGTAGGTATAAGACCTTTAGGGCTGATTGATTGGTTTGCTTCTGAGTTTGAGCGACACTGCCCCTTTTATAAAGACGTTTACTTCAATTCAGGATGAGATTTGGCATTTCCTACCGTACATTTTTATGATCGTTGTCACATTGATGGATGTGGTTCTGTTCGAGGTAAAGTTATCTCAATATTTTCAACCGTATTTCTCAGCTATAACTGCCATTTCAATTATGTTCCTCACATTTTTTACATAAAACTCGCAGGAGTAGATGAGAAGAGCTGAACTGCCCAAGTTTTATTTTTTCAGGTTGTGATAGCCGAGACGAAGAATAAGCCGCTTGAGGACCATATCATTAAGAAGCCGAAGAAGTCAAGGCAAGAAGAAGAAGCGTGACCATTGCCTCATTATGTTTAAATATTGTACACTGTGCACCGCCTTATTCACTAATAAATATACATCGTACTTCCATCCCTCGTCGTCGTTATGACCACTGGGCCAGTTGAGACACTTGGTGTGTTTTCGCTTTCTGAGCCATACACAGTCTTATTCGCTGGGGATGACGGGGCGTGTCAGTGAGACTGGGCTAGGCGCTCCAGCAGCCCGTTCTCCACCAGTTGTTGGAGCGGATAAGCGACAGCAACTGGTAAAAAACAGTACGAATGATCAGATAGAGTATCGTCGCTAGCCGATGAAAAAAAGAAAGGACGGGCTGGAGCAGCACCCATCCCCCCTGACACATCGCCAGCGATTAAGACTGTACCTTGGAGTATTACGCTTCCGCTGAAACATTACTCTGGAATTAAAAACTGTTTCGATCCTCCGTGACTTTGTTTTTGAGAAACTTGTCCTATTGAACAGATTTGGCCAGGATTTCGCTGTAGGGGCTGGTTTGACTCCACATACACAATTGCAGCTTATAACCTCACAAACATTCGGTTCCAAGGGTATGGAACGAGTCCACCTTTAGCGCGAGCCGACGCAACTATAACATATTCGTTTATCACGAAACCGTCTAGTCGCGCCAGTACATTATCACACCGTATTGCGTTTGAGAGGGCAAAAATAATTTAGAACGAAAAGACAACTAACTCTTTTTCATTCTAGATTGGCAAGAAATCTTGAACCACCTGGACATAGCGAAGTGCAGCTATGTCACGGACGGAGTTGGTTTTTGCGCTGATAATCAACCTGGGGAATGTAACTTGAGTGCTGGGGGTCGAATGCCGTGGGTCCGTTAGCACTGAATAACGCATCAAGCTTGCCTTTGGAAGGCCGTGAAATGTGATGCCAAATGATGTAGATAGAATCGCTTACAAAGTTCATATTGTAGTTCCGCAGAATGTGGTGAGCAGGATCTGACAAGATAATGTAGGAACGATCTCCATCTGTCTCCGGAAATTTTTTCCATGAAGCTGTCCGGCTTCGAGGAGTGTACAATGTTGCATTTTGATCAATCCTTTTGTTAGCATTTGAACAGCAGGTCTTACTTTAGTGGAACTCGTAATTTCCTGTGAAGCTGCGAGCATCAAAAAGGACGAAAATCAAGCTGGAAGGTAGCGGTAGCCAGGGCACGCCATCATTGCTTAAATCACAATGAGAGATCGTATGTGACGGCGAGGAAGAAATATTGGATGATAAAAATTTATTCACGGTTTCCGTTGTGAAGAGCACCTGAACAGGCGCCTGGTGAAAGAGACGAGCTGCAAGCTCACAGGAAAGGGCATTGCCAAGAAGTACGGTGGCACCCACGACGATGTCATCCCTCTATTCTATAAAGCAGCAACTTTATGTGTTGGTTTGTCTATGTATATGTATCTATGTTCTACCAGCAATGGTATATGGAAATGAGACATGGAGCACAATCAAAGATGAGGAGAG